GTCCATTGCGTGACTCTGGAAAGCGCTCTCTGGGGATAAAGATACGTGGGTGGGCATGTATGTGTCTTCATTTACCGTAGGCAAAAATGACAGCCTCATTTGTAGTTATGTCTGCCCTCTGCTTCCTGCTCCATCTCCCCTTCTGCACTTAGGGCTCACCAAACTTTCTTCTTTGTTTTCCCTTGTTGCTGCAGTTTTCCATTGTTCCTTGTTTGCCTCAGGCTTAGTTCGTTTTCTGAGAAGCTGGAGTACAAAAGGTCTGGTTTTAATGAAGTTTAGGAGGAAACTGGTGTTTTGTCTTATTTTTCTGACTGAAAGAGTTGCACGATTGATTAACATTTTCGTGCTCTGAAATGCAGTGTTTTTTGGAAGCTGAAGAGTGGATGGAAGTTTAAAAAAACTGGAAGCTGCAGAGCAGAGGCCAAAAAAATTGAATGCCATTTTTTGTAGCCTGCAGAAAACTCTAAGCCTTCTTAGAGTTCATTTGAGGCCCAACAGTGGAAGGTGAAGAATGGCAGCTGAAAAACTGGATGCTGGATAGTTGAGGCACTCTTGGAGAATGTCTTTTGGAGGTTAAAAAATCAGAGGCTGATGGATGGAAACAATTGGAGGCCACAGAATGGAGGCTGAAAAATTAGAAGCCAGATAATGGAATTCATTTTTGGAGGCTGTCTTATGGAGGTTGAAGAATGGTGCCTGCAGAATAGAGACACTTTCTAGATGCTGTCCATTGGAGGTCCGGGAATGGAAGCCAAAGGATGACGGTTGAAAAATTGGATGCCATTTTTTGCATGTGGAGGAATGGAAGCTGAACAATGACAGTTGAAAAACTGGAGAGTGAAGAATAGAAACCACAGGAGGGATGACATTTTTTTGGAAATCTTTTGTTGGAGGCCTGACCACGGAAACCAAAGAATAGCTGAAGGACTGAAATTATTTTTTGAAGTCTGTTTTTGGATGCTGTGTTTACAAGCTAGATTTGGAGGCTGAAAAATGGGGCAGAAACGCTAAGTCACATCTTGAACCAGTGATTGAGTATCTGCTAGGAAGGCAGGGCAACCAGGGGAGCTCAGGTGTATGCAATGCATCTGAGTGACTGGCAGCTGGAGCCAGGATCCACCCCTGAGCACCACCACACAGCTGAGTTCCAGTGGAGGTGAGGGCATACTGCTGGAGGCCTCTGCATGCCTGAGGCCTTTTGAAGGTATGTAACTTCTTTCCTTTATTTCTATGGCTGTTGTATTTGGGTAGATCCTTGTTTGCTGCAGCTTGGGACCTTGCTGCTCTGTTGATGTTGCTATGTTTTCCTCTGTGTTACAGGGGCTTGAAATTAGAGGCTGGGTTTTTTGTTATTGTTTTATTTATTATTGTTATTGTGTTTTTTACTGAAAGGAAGGGTATGTGGCTGTTGTATGGAATGATAAGAAGTGACGTAAGGGAAAAGATGGATGTTGAAGGGTGAGAGTTGTGGGAAAGACATGAATGGACTCACACAGTAGTATTGATGTAAGAACTCTGGTCAGAAGGACTACTATCTGCAACTTGCCTCAATAATTCTTCAAACTCTACAATGGGGCAGCCAGAAGCTGCGTAATATGTGGGCAAAATGGTTTTTTTTCCTCACCCCGGAATACAGAAAATTAGAAGTTTTCAGGGTGCGTTATCTTTATCGGACAATAACAGTGTAATAACAGTAATACACATACTGGTGTGAGTTGAGATGTGTGAGTGAAGGTAAGAAAAACATGAGAGCAGCGTGTATTGATTGCTGCAGAGCGCTCCGTGTTTCCTACAAGTGACAGAATGAAGAACAATCTGAAATTCTAGAGGTAAGATAACAAAATAAGGAGGTGGTGGAGCTGTGAAGCATCCAGATAAGGACAAGTAGTCCTAAGAATTTGAGGGGGTGGGGCAAGGCAATGAAGCACCACAGCACAGCATCTGCTGTGAAAGTGTAAAAGAGACCTCAAGAAATCAATTGTAGCTCCCAACCAGGAGCAGGACATGCAGTGAGGGTGCAATGCTGTTGTCCTCAAGTGATACTGGCCAGACCACTTCTAAGAGATGCCTGTGAGTATTTGGATAGAAGGGTGGGAGGAGGTAGAATCAACTTATTGGCTTTACTTTTTTTGCTTGTTTAAAGGAAAAATTGCCTTTCCCCTCTCTCGGGTCTTGCTCTGAGTTCTTGTTGCACTGATATACTATGGTGGTAGAACTAAACGTTCCAGTTCTGCTAAAGGTTCATGTAGGAGGTGGAATCTCTCCATGGGATAGCATTTTATATATGTATTTCAGTTGCCTTTCAAAAAAAAAAATTCAGATAACTGTACTGCAAAACTGCTATTTGGAAGGAGTATTAATGGCAAAGTCAAGTTGCCACATTATTGGATCAAGAGCAGCACTGTAACCGTTTCAGAGTTGGAGCAAAAGTCTTGATGGTGGTCAGCTGATGAATTTTGAAGTCTGGTTGAAAATCGATGCACAGTGGATTTCTACAGCTGTTCTTATCCCCCCCCCCAGCCTGTGCCCTGCTGCCAGAGGCTGGATCTCTTTCATTCTGCAATAATAAAAAGCAGATTTTCCTTCTTAAAATACCCGAAGGGAGTTGCTAACGCAGATCCTCTCCACTGTGTGCCATCCTGGTTCATGTGGTCAAATCCCATTGCTTCCAGCTTTACAGCAGGGCTAATCCATGCTGTTGGAGACACCCAGATTAACCCACCACGGGGTTAGAATGCTTGAGCTGTTGCTGGAAGATTAGTACATTTGATTCTCAATGTTTGCAGAACTTAGCCTGAAAATGATTTCCAATTAGAACTCATGGGTTGGCGAGGGCGTTTGGAAAAGTCTGGATTGAAAGCAAGTGGCTGCAAAGATTAAACTGGAGTGGGAGCGCACAGAATGCCTTGGAGATTTAGACCTATCGCTGTTGATGGGAACAAAAGGCGCTTCTTTTGTGTTGTGAGCTTCTCGTAGGTGGTTTTATTCTGAGTCTCTTGGCTACAGGGGGATGGAACTGCCCTCCTGGCACCGGTTTTATTCAATCGCTGGGCTGATCACCTGATAAGAGAGAAACACCTCTGTCCTAGATAACATTAGCCTTTGTGGTGAGGGAGAGTGCCTGCTGAGTGGCTTGTCAGGTGCTTTGCTTTCTGGAGCTCCCTGCTAACGACGCTGTGTGCCATTAAGTGGGTGAGCTGCCCAAAAATGAACTTGTTTCAGTTCCTGCACAATGCCAAATGAGGTTATTTTGAGGACAGGGTCTCTGCTGTGGTTTTTGTAGTTAAGAAGTGATTGGCTCCCTCCTTGTGTGTTCTGCACTGGGACTCAGGCTGTCTGTGCTCATCACGTTTTATTTCAATTGCTAGCAGGAGCATTCATGTTTGAAAGAGAACTTCCTCTTGTCAGCAGGGCATTAATTCCAATGCCAAATCTGCTCTGCACTCTGTAAATGCTTACATGGCTTTCTATTGCACAGGGCAGCAACAGCTGAGTGTGGTCCCATAGCAGCCATTCTGTGTGAACTGGAATTTCACCTATCACCAATATTTCCTCATTAATCCACGTCCCACAGTGCCATATTTCTGTGTTCCTTGATCACCTCTAGGGATGGGGACTCCACCACCTCCCTGGGCAGCCTGTGTCACTGCATCACTGTTCTTTCTGAGAAGAAATATTTCCTAACACCCAACCCGAACCTCCCATGACACAACTGGAGGCCATCACCTCAAGTCCTTCTGTCTGTAAATATGTGTACAAACAGCTCTTTCTTAGCTGTGTGTGTAATGGCATTTATCACACTCGCCTGAAAATAACACTCTTCCTCCAGAGGCTGGCAAAGATTATCAGTTGAAACCCAGGTGGAAAGTGGAGCTCTAAGACATCTCCCTGTGAAACTACACCAGAAAGGTAGGGCACTTCTGTATGGGAAGTCTGGTAGTATGGTACCTTAGAGCTGCAGCTGTACTGAGAATTCCCTCTTCTGGGAATGCTGTGCAGCCTGGTGAAGCAAGAGTTGTTCAGTTTTAACTCATGCATTTATAAACATTGAGCACATTCCTCTGCACTTTAAAAACATACTTTGGGGGATATCTGTAGAGCTGCGTGACAGAATCACTCTGAATATTTTATCCAAGACCTGTGTTGCAATTTCTTTTAGAGAAATAACTCTTTACAACCCAGAATATGAGTCTGTAGTTTGTTCTTAGCTTACTGTGGCAAGAGGACAAGGCTGCTGGTATGATGACACCACGATCTGTCACCAAAACTTGTTGTGTAATAACCAGTAAGAACATGGGGCAGCAAATTCCGCACATGGAAGTTGCCCTGGATTCATATTAATATGCATCTAACTGATCAGCTGTGCCTTGGCAACACATGTAAGATAAAGCTGACTGTGCTGTAAAGAACTTCAATCGTTCGCTGGATGGAAATGGAATGCCTGACATCACGCTGGGGTGATTTGGACTGTCTGATAAGTGAAAGTGTGTGTATGGAATATATGCTTTTCTGAGCAGTGTGTATTCTCTGATTTGAATCATACTGAAGCTGCTGGTTTCATCATCAAAATACCTTCAGAGGGTGGACCTCAGGCTTGCACTGATAACATAGGGCAGGAGTGCTGGCTGGATTCTTGGTTCTTTCCCACAGCCAACTCCATGCACATCCATGTTCTTGTGTTTATTTTTTCCCCACCACCCCCCCAAAAAACCCAAAACCCAAGGAATCCCAAGCAGGGTTCACTCTCAACCCCGTGATGTTGCCTCTAAACAGATGACAACACCTCAGTGCTTGGTGCTACTTTACTCACTGCCCTTATGGCTGGGGATCTACTGCTGTGCTGCCAGCTTGATAGGTGCTGTAGTTGCACATGAGAAATGGTGTTTCAGTGGTGAAGCATGTTTTCAATTGGCAACAGGGAAATAGAGGATTTGAGGTGACTGCAGCCCTGTAGGAGGTGGAGGTGATTCCTGCTCCCTCCCTCCCAGGAGTGTGATTTGGTTTTTTTGAGCCCTGGTGTGCTTATTCCTTCCTTGTGGCAGCACAAAGCAGGACACAGCGGGCATTCTTTAGCTTCTGTCTGTCATCCAGTTTGCAACATGCATCGCTTGGGCTGTTATAAAAGTCCCTTGTTAAGTAATTGTATTTCTCTTGCATAAGTGTTTGCTTTCAGGAAGCTGCAGCCAATCGGAGGCTGCAACTCAGAACTCATTCCTAACCACCGTGATTTCCGAAAATAATGCTCCGGTGCTGATCTGCTGGAAGTTCTGTAAAAGCTCTGTAGGTTGGCTCAAGCACAGGAGACCTCAGTGCCCGTGGTGGCTGAACTACGGCAGTAAAGTGCTGCCACAGCGCTGCGCTGAGCGGATCGTCGTGAGTAACATTTCTGATCCTTCTAAAGGGCGTCTGTGGCTGGTCACTGCAGGCAGGGAAGTACTGCAGGCTTTCATCGCCAGCCGTGCGTTAGAGGGAGGCAGGAGGTGAGAGTTGGGTGGTGAAGCTATTGACAGGGGGTAAAATAGTGCTTTCCTTTTGGGCTTCCCTAAGCAAGCACACGTTTCTCTGAAGCTGTGTAGTCAGGTCTCTTCCAAATACGCTAATAAAAAAAATGTGGTGCTGAATTCAATTACAGAACCGTCAGGAGAACGTAGACTTGGCTGGGCAGTGAGATGGAAGGAACGGTCAGCCCTGAATACTGACTCAGTGTCTGACAACCAGTATTCAAGCAAAAAAATAGAAGAGCAGGGCAAGCACGCAGTGATATTTCCTCTGCTGTATTTCCCGAGCTTTCAGAAATCTGTAGGTTAGGTTTTCCTGCGTCAGGAAATACATATTTGATACTACAAATGGATTTTCCTTCTCAGAATTTGCTAGCTCAGCATACCTCTGTTAAAGACAATAAGTTGTTTGGAGGTTTATCTACCATAAATCTCATCGGGATTTGATATCCTGAGTTGAGTTCACACACACAAGTTTTTCATGAAAACGAATAGGCCTTTTCTGTTTAGATGGAACTGGGTAGGAAAGATGTTCATGGATTTAGCAGAAAACTCAGTCTCCTACAAAATTTCCTCTCCCGCTTGCTTTTGCTGTATGTGGATGCAGCTGACTTGCATAAAAAGCCCATAACTGTAAAACTATGCACTGAAGTGGGAAATGGAATTTATGAGTTAGATGCTGAGTAGCTCCGTTGTTATTTCTGCCAACCCTAGGAGGCACTGAAGTGTCTCTGTATAGAAAAGGCAGCTCAAGTGCTGGGCTGTGAGGGGAAATAAAGCTATTGCTCATGCTATGGATGCGTGTACACATAGTTTTACGTAACTTTTCCTTGATAGAACAAAGTCTTTACTAATGGAGATCACTTGGGAGAGCTCAAGTCACTACTTATGAAGCTGAAAAGATGTTGTATGTAGAACTAATAATCTACAGAGTTCTGAAGACCTGCTAAAGCATTGAAATTATTTTGATAGCCAGTGGATGAGCAGGTAATTCATAAAGAATCATAGAATCACAAAGGTTGGGAAAGACCACTAAGATCACTTTGTCCAACCACTGACCCATCCCCACCATGCCCACTGACCGTGTCCCTCAGTGCCACATCTTCATGGTTCCTGAATGCTGCTGTGAGAAGAAGTGAAAATACCAACACAAGTCAGCAGCTAAAACTGGGGCCTCATTTCTTTTACTAAAACAAATTCGGAATTGGAGAACAAAATGAAGCATGTGTTAGTATACCCAAACAAAATCTCTTATCCTTTTTCAGGGTAAAATGGACTCCATGCCCAAGCTCAAGATTTTTGTGATGTTGCTGTCTCTGGCTACTTTCACAGCCATGGTGATACTGAATGCTGGAAATGCCACTGGTCTTTTCAAAGGTAATGCAAGCAAATGCTTTTTGTTCAGAGAGATGAGTCTTGTGCATTGCATCACTTTGTGATGCCTTAGATCAGTTTCACTTCTTCAAACCATCAGAGCCTCTTCCAGTCCCTTGAAATCAAAGCAAATGGTCTGGATGTATCTGCTGGTGAAAGTCTGTTTTTACATATGTTGCCCTTGTATTCCTGGTGGAAGCTTTCCAGGTCCTGTTGCTGTGGGTTTTTTAGAGGATGGTGCTTGGCTTGCATGCTGCCCAGCTCAGAATGCTCCCCATGCTGTCAGAAATGAGAGTCATGCTTCTCTTTGGCTTTTACACACAACTGGCTTTTCTGGTTCTGTGCAAGAGAAAGGTGCTCAGGGTTCCCCATAAGGGACAGTAATCCTGTAATGGGTTTTTGAAAGGAAGCCAATTGCAGCGTGCGGTTTGTTTTCAACAAGGGCATCCTCTCAGGACCTATTGAGGTGTGGACTAAACCTTGAGGAAGATTGCAGGTTGAGAAAATCAGCAGTCTTTCCCCATCCTTAGTATGTAATAATACATTAGGCTGCAATAACATTCACTACCAGGTCTGTTCCGGACAACCCCTGGCAACATCTCAGAGAAGTACAGCACCGACTTCACACCAGCTGGCTGGACTTTCCTCATCTGGAATGTCATCTATGCCTGGCAACTGGCGTGGCTCCTGTATGCGCTGTCAGGGATCTGCCGCAGGTACTCCCTGCCCACGGCACAAATGCTGGGGGTGGCCCTTCCCTTCTGTAGAGCAGTCTGTTGCTCACTTCCTGGGCTTTCTGGTCAGTGCAAAACCTCTGCCATTCCTCTTGGCTTGACAGGCTGAGTCTCTGGAGCTTCTTTTCGGTCAGGCATCCCAAGCGTAGCAGCAGGTCGGAGGTCTATATGAACTACTTTGTAATCTGTCCACACAGAGCAAGTCAACAGTTCTGTGAGAGCTGGTTGTTTCCACTGGTTTGTGTGATCTGACAGTTACCCAGCAGCTGCTTTTCAGAGGCTGTTTGCAGAGGCTGTCATTTCATTTGTAGTTCTTTTCTTTTCATTTTTTTCAAGATGAAAGCATATCTTCTCAAATATTGGCTGGGAATATTCTTTTTCACATCCTTGTTGTGGAAAAGGAGGTGATAGAAGCTGGCAGAAACGGTATTTAGGTTTTTAAAATATTATTATTTATTAAGAGGAAGGGAATGCAACAGTTGTGAGGAATGGTGAGAAATGAGGCTCAGAAGTAGATGCATGAGCAAGGATGAGAGATGAGGGGAAGAGGGTGAACTGATTCATATGGCAGTGAATAGATATAGATGGATATAGATATAGATTCAAGAAAACTAATCAGAGGGACCACTGTCTAAAATTTTCCAGCATGAGAATTTCCTCACAGCATGAGGAATCTTTCAACCTGGAGCCCTGGAGGTAAGGTGACAAGATGAGGAGGAGCTGTAAAATCGTAGAATGGCTTGGGTTGGAAAGGACCCCAAGGATCATCCAGTTCCAAAATATCTAGATAAAGATAGTGAGCATCGGGATGGAATGGTGGGAGTAGGTAGAATCAACTCACTGGCTTTACTTTTTGTTTGTTTAAAGGAAAATTGCCTTTCCCCTCTCTAAAGTCTTGCAATGAACACTTGTTGCAGTGATTACCTGTGATGGTAGAACTAAATGTTCCAGTTCTGCTAATGGTTCATGTAGGAGGTGAAATCTATCCATGTGATGGCATTTTATATATGTATTTCAGTTTCTTTAAAAAAAAATTCAGATAACTAGATTGCAAAATTTCTATTAATACTCCTTCCAAATAGCAAAGTCAAGCACTGGACTGCCACAAATGGAAGCTGTCTGTTTAGGCTGCCCATTGCCTTGGAAGGAACACTGCTTCCACAAAAGTGTCTGTTTCTTGCTCTCCAGATACACAGCACTGAATGCTGTCAGGTTACAGGTGACACTGTTGAGTTTAGGTATATAAAGTCCTACAAAATACACTGTAAGGAAAGTTGGGCCAGAAGAATTACAAAGCAGGCTTCTGAAGGAGAAGTTCTTGATGGCCTCAATTCTACCACCGTAAAACATGCTCTGTTTGCAATCCAGGTGTGTTTACTTTCTGCTTATCCCACCTGTCCCTGCTCCTGACTGCGCTGGGAAGCCTTGTGGGCTGTGCAGTGTGTGCAGGCAGCAGTGGGCACAGATCTGCCTCTGGTGTGCTTCCAGCACTGCAAGGGGCTTCCTGAGTGCCCGTGGTCCTTTGTTGTGGAGCTGTGGGAAAGAAAAGTGCTTGTGGAGGATTCTGATGGGGTGCCTTCTTTTTCCTTACAGAAATGAACTTGGATGTGTCTTCATGAAACCAGATTTGCTGCCAGTACCTTTTTACATGGCATGGATTCTGAATAACGGCCTCAATGTTGGATGGCTGTTTCTGTGGGACAGAGAGTAAGCCGCTCTTGTTACAGCAGCTTTCTAACTGTAATGTTGGGACTACTGAAACAACTGGGCAAGCCTTGGCAAAATCTACCCTTAATAACTATTTTGTTATTTGCAATTTTCATCTTGCCCATGAGATAGATGGGCTGTTGAAGTTTTATCTCTTAACAACTGCTGCTCTTCAGTGTTTCATCCAGCAGATAGGACAAGAGCCATGACAGCCTTTGTAAATACAGTTAAGCTCATTGCCTTGGATTGTTTTCATCATCGTGCTGGCATGAAGGGTTTATAATAGCACCATTGTCAACAGATGAAGAAATCAGCCTCAGTGAGGAAATAATAACTTAATGATTAGGAGTAAAACAGTATGTCAAAATGAGGCCTACACATAGTGATTACCTTTATTAAAGGCTTGATTAGCTTAAAGTCAGTAAAGGCCAAACTCTAAAGCTATGAATTAAGGCATTGTGACACCACTGAAAAAATGCATTGTATGTTGTGTGTTGGTTTTTTTTTGTCCTAGATACCTCCTCCCAGCCCTGCTGTTGTTGGCAGCCCTCACTTTTACCACGGGGGCTGCTCTCTTCATTTCACACAGAGCCTTGAGAATCCATTCCACGTGGTTCGTGAAGGGCCACCAAGCTGACCTCTGGCTCATCCGAATCCTAGTAGGTGGCATTTAAGCAGCTGAAAAAGCATGTTCAAGGAGCTGAGAGGGTTGTCAGTGGAGCTGCAAAGCTGGGCGTGCATGTGTAAATGTTTCTGCTGGGAATGTCTCTAAGTCCTTTGGCACAAAGTGGGGGTGGGCACTGTCCTGTCCACCCTTGCATTTCTATTCATGAGATGCAAGCAGAACAAAGGGAATTGGAAGCATCTGGGTTCCTTATCCTCACCCTTGTCCTCTTGCTGTACTCATGGCAGGTGCAGAACGGGCTGGCACTGTATGCCACATGGACCACCATCGCCACTCTGCTGAACTTTGCCGTTGTGTTGATCTACAAGTGGGATGTGTCCAATGAGACAGCAACCACTGCATCTCTGAGCATCCTTACCCTCATGCTTGTCATGTGGTGAGCAACCTCCTGAGTTCCCTCTGGGCCTGGAAGAGCTCTTCTACCTCTAGTGTATCACAATCGGTCCCTCTCAAAGAATGAAAACTGTCACTCAAAGCCAGTTTTGATTTTGTGATCTTGCTGCAGTATAACCATGGGGTATTACACTGAGCAAAAAAACAGCCATTTCCCATGGCCAAGCCCCTTCTTGGGAGGAGCAAGGGGGTTTTCTACATGTTGATTCTCCTTCATACTTTTCCACTTGCAGAAAACTTGCATTTAATACAGGGTTTTTTTGCCTACGTTTACCCTTGATAATTTTTTAATTAATCTTATGAATTTTAGTATATGAATATTTTGAGCTCTGGTCTGTGCATCCAACAAAGGACTCTTAATCTGACTCTTATCTTAAGCTTTTTATGGGGGGGAGGGGCGAATCTAAAGAAGCAAACATACTACTTGGTCATTGTTTTTCTCCACAGGTTTTGTCAGGAAAACTTCTTTCTTGATAAGTACGTCCGTTATAACCTCACTGTCTACCCAGTGGTTATAATAGCTCTGACTGGCAGCATGTGCAAGGACTTCTCCATTTCCTCCCCAACCACCAACGGTGTTTTTATAGGTGAATCTCTCATAATCTTTGGAGCAGTGTGCTTCTCTTTGCAATTGAAGTTATTGCCTGTGAGCCTTGGGGTTGAAATCAAACTTAGTGTTGCCTCCTGTTCACTTCCCAGTGCAATAAATTTGCCCTGCAATCACACATTTGTGCTGTCCCAGAGAAACTCGCCAGCCCTGTGAGCTTTTGGTGCTGTGCTGGTAGCTCCCTGCCCTTTGACACGGAGCAGGCACACAGAACACAGGGCTGGGATGAAGCCTGTGGGCTTTGCTTTGTATTGCTTGTGATTATGGAGCAGTGCTTTAATGTCTGACCCAAGCAGGAGCTGTATCTGAGTTCCACAATGCAAAGACCTGCACATGCTCCTCTCCTGTGCAGTCTAGGCTAGCACTGACAAGTTTGGCCAGGATTATTTGGTTGCTGCAGGCCACTGTAGCTGAGTTGGATGTAGTCATACACTGTAAAAGGGCTTAAGCTGTATACATGCTGTACAGACCACAGCATGGCAAAAGCTGTGTCATTATGAGTAGTTATGCTGGCACGAAAGAGGTGGAGATGTGCAAACCCTGTCTTGCTGAAGCAGTTTGAGATTCCTATTCCCACTACAACATCAACAGAAGAGAGCACACTGTCACCCTTCAGCCCTCCCAATGCTGTGTGCCAGTGGCTGAAGGCAGTTCCTAAGCTTGCACTGCCAGCATCACAGCCACCTTGATGTGTGTTCCCTTCTGCTGTATGGGCAGGGTGTGCAGCTGGGAGTCAGGATTTGCCTAGAAGCACCCAGCAGGAACTGAGCAGAGCTTCTCTGCCAAAGCCACGAGTCCATTGACTCCTGCCTTGGTGGTTATGGCCATCTGCAATGTGGAGGTGCGTAAGCTCTGGCAGGCAGCTCTATTCCTGCAGTAGGTGCTTCTCCTGCCTTTATACCAGCAAACTTTCATTTATAGTGGTTTGGCTTGTTTGACTGGTAGGGCAAGAATGTGCTTTTCCCAAACTGGTGCCTGTTTCTTTATATAGTTCAACTATTCTTGGACTTGTTTGTTAATGCCGTGTGTCTTTATGCTTGTGTCTATAAGATCTCCCCTTTTTAGACATGCCTTGACCTGGAAGCATTGGGTATGTTACTGGTTATCGGTCAGAGCAGATTTGCCTTACCCCATGGCAGCCACCTAACATCAATAGGGGTAATGGCTCCTGGACAGAGGCCTGTGGGTTTGCCTTGGTCTTTTCCCTGCTGTCTGAGGAGGGAGCTAGATAATGACAAAAAGCACTGTAATGACAAAAAACACACAAAAAGCATGCTAACCTACTTCTTTGTTTCTCTTCTAGTTGTACTGCTGGCACTGACTTGTTTTATCTTTGCTGTTCGGCTGGCGTTAGTCATAAGGAAACACAGTAATGAACTGCTGGAACCACCACCACCACAGCCATCAAGTACAGTGGCCTGAGACCTGTGGCACGGTGATGTTATGACAAATGCTTTAGAGGGAGGAGTAAGAGCTGAGCGTCCTGCAACCACTGGTCCTTCCCTCCAGTAACAATTGCCTTTTTTTGCCTTTTTCTCTTTTTTAATATATTCTGGATTAGCACAGCTTGTGCCTGCAAACTTGTCCTCCTCCCCTATTCTCTGAGCTCAGCTGTTTGCAGCTCCACCTCAAACATGCACCCTCCTCTGCTCATTTTGCTGTGGATCAGTGGAGGAAGAGGCCCTGTAGATGAGTAGCTCTGTATACCTTTGTGATGACAGAGCTGCTCCTCCCAGTGTGAGGAGGGCTGTCAGCAGATGTTTGGCACAGAGAGTTGCCCTCACCCTTTCCTGGGAGCTATGGTGGGCAGGGGAGGAGGGATGGCCGAATACTTCTGACACAGCTGCAAGTCTCCAGCCTATTTCAGGTTGCTCTAACTCTAGAAACTGACAATGTGCTCACATCTCAGCACACGCTATTATCTCTGTCCCTCTGCCTTGTTTTTCCTTCTGACTTTCTTACTAGAGTTTGTCACTATGTCGATGCCTCCATCAGTGGCCCCACAGTGACAGCAGATCTGTGCCCCTGCCACCCACTCTTTTCAGACAGGGGAGATCCAGGTGCTGTGGGACCAGTGGATTGCTTTTCCTGAGCTGTGCCCGTTTGGTGGCTGCCTCCTGCAGGAATGTGCTTTGCAACCCTTCTGCTGGGATATCAGCCATCCAGATGCCACAAAACCTGACGGAGAGTGAAGCCTGCTTCACAGACCACTTCTTGTTTTCTGAACTGGATAGAGTGAGATAGAGTGTAATGTGGCTTCAACACCGTGGGCTTGCTTTGGGAAGCCTGAATGAGAACTGACTGGATTGCAAGACCTCTGCCTCTATTTGCTGTGCCTGCTAGATTTGATGATGCCTCCCTGGTGTCTGGAAAATCTTCCTGGATGCCTGATGCTTGGAAACGCTGAATATCTGGCAGTAGTCTCACAAAGGTGAATTCTACTACAATACAATGCTATTGTTTACATTTAATGAAGAACTAAGTCTGTACTATGTGGTTCTTGTCATTCTATCATATCTTATTTTTAAATAAAGCAGCTACTGCCACCGCTTCTCATGCAACCACAAAATCATTAAGGGTAGAAAAGACCTCTAAGATCATTTAAGGTCACCAACCCTTCCCACCGTGCCTGTTGTCCATGTCCCTCAGTGCCACATCTACACTCTGCATGAAGCTTGTAAGTAAATGACTTTTGGAACCCATGCTTACAGCAGAGGGCCTGACTTCTGCCTTGCCTGCTTCTAATATGTCTGCTCTGCACCTGTGGCTCAAGGGCTTGGTCCAGATCTGCTTCCTACACTTCCAGGTGCCTGTAACAGCCTCAGGAAGCCCTTCAGATTGTCACAGAGCAACAGCTTGGAGGCACACGTGCCCCATTCCTGCATCTGCTTTGCTGTCTGTGGTGCAAACAAGCTGAAAGGAGCTCCTCACTCTAAGTGCTGTAGCTCCATGTTCATCTTATGCAGACCTCCCTGCAAGGAATCCTCTGAGAACTGCCCTGAAATGCTGGTGCTGAGTGAATCCCTGGGCTGGCCCCACACAAACAAGCTGCTGGCTCCAAGCTGCCTTCCTCCACCATTCCCTGGAGCTGTGGCAGGCAGACATTCCCACAGCACAGTGCTCCCTGCCAGCATTGGGGAAAGCAGCTTTCCTTGCATCCGTGGCAAGAACAGGAGCCTAAAAATATAATCACCCTGCCTGCCCCTTTCCTTTTAGCTGCAGGCAGGGCAGGGCTGAAAGCTAGTGGTGTAAGCCTTCCTACTTGCTATGTGCTATTTTTAAAGGTTGTTTCTTTCTGAAACGCCTTGTTTCCACTTGTTTTCTAGAATCAGAAATACCAATGATGTGCTTTTTCCCCCACAACAGATCACTCTTCCAACAAAGCTGCATTTCACAAAGCCGCAAGCCTGCCAACTTTTTGGCACAAATAATCTGCCCAGCCTTTGTTTCCATGAGCAATTATGGGATTGGGGTGAATTTTACTGGATTTAAAATTTCTTGGAAAGCTGATGGCATTAAGAACCCAAAGCCTGAAAAATTGCATTTGTTTCTAAAACTGTTAATTCCAAGCCTTGGCAAGAGCCTGTGTGTCTCTCTTAGCAGGATGCAAGCTGGAATAAAATAAAATCAAATTGAGACTGCCAAGGAGAAGGAATAGAGTCATAGAATTGACTCATAGAGTCACTGGGAAAGACACTAAGCTCACCAAGTCGGACCCCAACCCATCCCCACTGTGCCCACTGACCGTGTCCCTCAGTGCCACATCTTCACAGTTCAGGGACACCTCCAGGGATGGTGACCTCCCCGCTCCCCAGGCAGCTGCGCCACTGCCTCACCACTCCTTCAGAAGGGAACAGGAGCAACCTCTCTGGGGAGCATGGTGAAGATCTCTGGATAAAAGCACCAAAGACATAAGGCAATGATGAAAGGGATATGCACCCTTTGCTATGCATGCAGTCTAAACACGCTTGGGCCATCCCGAGCCCTTTGAAAACTGTTAGATGTTTTACAGCTAAATATTTATTTTATCCGTGCAGAGCCGGGACAGCCCTGTGTCGGGAGATTAGCACAGCTCCTTCTGCCAAAGGCATCTTGGTCACAGGCTTGGGTGCAACTCACACATGAGACGAATGTGTGGGAAAATGATGCTAAAGGAGCCCAGGGTGCTGATCCTGCCCCAGCAGAGCCCTGGCAGCAGCAGGCAGCAGCGCCATGAGTGTGCCATAGGCTACCCTTCACTCTTCACCTCCAAGCCCTGAATATCCACACAGGAAAGCTGTGTTTTTTCTTGCCTCTTCAGGAAGAAATGAGTTTGAGGATGCTTGCCTGGTACACATTGAGAAAAGACTTCTTTTGTTCGGGATGGGTCCAATTTGGAGTGCAGGAAGTGATGGTGGCGTGATCTAGTGATTTCTCTTGATATTGTTCTAACAGCTTAAAAAAACCAGACAGGATTGGAAATAATTCAACTTAAGAGACCCAAGACATGAATTAGAGAGGATAAATAGCTCATGTTTGTGCCTGTGCCCAAGAACGGCCTTGCAGAAGGGACCCACCATGTAGCTGGTGGGGCTGTGGGCCTTAGGGTGATACTCAGAGATCCCAAATCTAGTGTGGGCTTTGCAAGGTCTCCAAAGAAGGGTGGCCCTGTGCAGCCCATGCCCAAGCTGTTCAGGCACTGTGCATGGACTAACCAGCACCCGTGTGTGGTGAATTCACTGAGTGCTCATGCAAAAGCAAAGAGGGAGCATGGATGCACGTGAGTTTGGTGTTAAGGTGTGGATTCCTCTTGTGCCCATGCAGGAATTCATTGGTTGCTTGTACTTGAGCTCTGTGGATTCCTCTTGTGCCCATGCAGGAATTCATTGATTGCTCATACTTGAGCTCTAAACATCAATTAATTCGGTGCTCATGCATCAGCTAATTGGGTTCCCGTGAATGAATGAATTGATTGTTCTTGCATGAATTAATTTGGTGCTTATGCACAAGCTGTTTGAGCTCTTGTGCATACACTAATTGAGCTCTCATGCATGAATTACATGGGTGCTCATGCACAAATTAATCAGGTGTTCATGCATGGATTATTTTGGCACTCGTGCAGGAATGAACGAGGTTGCAACTTCCGCTGTTGGTGCTCACTGCCCCACTGGCCTGCAATGACAGAGCTCCACTCCCAGGCATCGCATCGTTACCAAGGGTGCAGAGCACCATCTAGTGAATGTTGGTGAGGAAACCATTGCTGCAAACCCCGAGAGGCTCCAGGTGAACCAGGCAGCTAAATCAACATTACTACTGTTTTTTTTTTCTCTTTTTTTTTCTTAAGATGCATGACCTCTCTCTACTTGCAACTTGAGCCCGAGCAGCTGGAGAGCTGCAATCCCCTTGCAGAGCCTGGGAGAGGCCGCAGCCCAGCGACCTGCCACCTGCAGTCACTCTAATTAAAACCTCTAGGATGAGTTCACATCTCTTTGCTTTTTTATGGATGTGTTTGAAGTCTCCCATTGCTTTGGGTAGTCTGCACTGTAATGAAGTTTTCAGCAGCAATATTTGAGCTTCACAGCTACTCTTTATGGCCAAACATCTCAGAGGGGTGTTGAGCAGGTTTGTTAGGAAAGGGGAATGCTTGTTGGAAATGGCTGGGGACAGGCCTGTAACAGTAAGTCACTGCCACCACCCTCAGCTGGCAGCAGACAGGCCCTCAGTGAGCCATGGGGACTCAGTCCAGCTGGGTCATCCTCCAAGGTCGCTTCATCGTGGCCCCAAAGTCCTGCTTCAGTGAGCCAGCCTGGTTGATAGCATGGCACAGTTCATGCTCAGGGGAAATTTCCTCTTCTTCCATGCCACCACTGTGTTCAGCTGCAAAGGCTGCAACATGCCTTTGCTGGGGACATCTCCAATCCTCCAGTCCAGCAGCACCTTCCCAAACGGTGGACCCACAGCTTCCCAGCCCTTTGGTTGGCCGGACGAGCCTCCAAGGAGCTGAAGATGCTCATTTTGGCAAATGGAGAAGGCTCTTTATGCCAACCCATGCCAGCAGGACCTCTGGGGCAGGGAGGCCTGTGTCCTTGCCCTACAGGATGGGATAGTGGAGCTGCTCCTTTGGCTTTATGGAGCTGGTCGTGCCTGAGACGCGTGATAACTTCGGCCCCGTAACTGAAGGCCACGTCATGGCCTTTCGTTGGGTCTTCAAAACCCTCTAGAGGGAGCCCTGATCCCAGACATCGCCTGCAGAGGGCTTGAAAGCCCGCAGAGGTGCTGCGTGGGTGTCGAGATGGAGGGTTTGTGGGTTTTTTCTTTCTTTTTTTTTTCTTTCTTTGTCTCTCTTTCTTTCTTAGTCTTTCTTTGTATTCCTTCCTCCCTTCCTCCCTTCTTCCTTCCCTCCTTCCTTCTCTCTTTCCTTTCCTCCTTCCCTCCTTCCTTCCCTCCTTCCCTCCTCCATCTTCCCTTCCTTCTCCCCCTCTCCCTTACTCATTTACCAGCCCTGTGAAACCCTACTGTGACATCTGATTTCCATCCGCTTGGGCAATAAACTGACATTTTTCTCACGGTCTCTGTGCTCTTGTGCCTTGGGTCTCTGCCAAGTGCTCCACATCTTTAACTTTCTTCATTTTTTTCTTTTATAGACCGAGTCATCCTCTCCCCTGCTCTGTCCCCTTCTCACCCTTTAAAGGAAGTAAAGGAAAATATTTCCAGCTCCCAGCACTTCAATGTCCCTGCGTCATGGCACGCTGTGGGATGATGAAGTGCTTCCAGGGATGGGGACAGCCTGTTCCTGCACTGTGCCTCTACCATCACCTCCTCCTGGCTCCATAGGAAGAGGAAGAGAAGAGTTAAGTCTTCTTGGTGCTTGTTTCCTGAGTCTGAAATTTCCTTTGCGTCCTTGTACCATGCTCGGAGAGGAAAAAAGTCATACCCAACATGCAGAGGTTTGAGTGGAGAGGTCACAGCATGAGCATCTGCTGACATTTCCTCTGTCATTTGCCATGCTGGTGCATTGCTATATCTGAGCTCTTAACATACAATGCAATTATGAAGTACAAAGAGTTGCTACTTGGGTGTTAAATTCATTTAGCCACAGAAATGGAGCTTTGCTTGTAGCCTTGCTGTGCTCCTTAGCATCCCTTCAGCCCTTGCTCAGATGAGTCACCAGAGCACACAGCCCAGATGATGCAGAACCCATCTGAAATGACTAAGCACTTCAGCAACCGAGCCCTCTGATCCCTCAGCAGTAGGCTTTGGCCATGCCTTTGCACCAAAACACCCATTTGCTATCAGGGCATCCCCCCGTGCAAATTTGCTCGTGTGTTTGGTTTGCAAGTGCCCTTTCCTCTTGCAGGGGGAAGGAGAGCGCATCCCATCGACCTGCAGGGCAGGGCACTCGTTGCTTTCCACAATGAAGGCACCCAAACAACACAGCTCAAGCAGAGGTTTGTTTGGGGTTGAGTGAACTCTGTCCCTTTTGGGTTTCCGCCATAGGAAGCCAAGTCCCTCAGGTCGAAAGGGCTGCCTGCTTGACGCAGGGGAAATAGGCAGCCCCAGCATCCCGCCTGGA